AGCATGTGTTTAAGGATGCAGTTGAGACTCATGCACAGTAGATGTCAGGGTTGCTACACATATAAAGATCTCTCTTTTTAAAAAAAATCTGTTTTAAAAATCCAAACGTTTAAAACTGATGCCTTTTAATATCCTCTGAGTTTTTCTGTAGAATGTAAACATTAGCACAACAACTAGCCTCTTTAAAGAGCATAGAAAGGTAGGACTCTGCAATCAGAGAATTTCTACCTTTTTGAATCCAGAGAATCTTTATTAGCAACATCTTTTAGAATTGTCATAGAAGCATAGATCTGGAAGAGACCTTGGAGGTCTTCTAGTCCAACCTGTTGGCCAAGACAGGAGAATTTATACCAGTGATGGAGAACCTTTTAAAGACAGAGTGTCCAAATTACAACCCCAAACCCACTTATTTATCGCAAAGTGCCAACAAGGCAATTTAACCTGAACACTGGCGTTTTACTACCTAAAATAATTCAGCTAATTGTTATAAGAAAAATGTGTTATGTCCATTAATGTTTTTTCTGCTTTTGAAATATTATGTTTAGCACAGGGGTGGATTTCATTTTTTTTTTACTACCTATTCTGTGGGTATGGCCTATTTGGTGGGCATGGCTTGGCAGTCATGTGACTGGATGGGTGTGGCCAACTTGATGTCATTCACCAGAAGATGTCATGGATTGGGTAAAATGTGGTGAAGCTCACTTAACAACACTCTTGCTTAGCAACCAAAATTTTGGCCTCAATTGTAGTCATAAGTCAAGGACTATTTCTGCCTTCCACTGCATGGCAGCCTTGTCCTAGTAAACTCCTTCTCCTTTCTGGCAATATTCCCCTCTGTTAGAGGCATCAAAACAATCCAGACAATGTAAGGTTTCCTACTGCAGCAGGGACAGGGGTGGGTTGCTGCCAGTCCTCCCTGGTTCTCACGAACCAGCCAGAATTTAAACCAGCTAACCCATTGCAAAATTATTTTAATGATTCTTGTAATCAGATCTTCCAGCACATAGATTAGATGTAATTTTTTACTAATCATTCCTTCTCCACATTTTGTTCCAGGATCAACCATTCCAGCATTTTCACTGTTGGGAAAAATACATGAAAAACCATCTTCAGTGGACTTCTTTCTGCAATATAATCTGCCTCATTTTATATCCCTGAAATAGGAAATCATCAATGCTAATTAACAAGAATGGAGTAATGAATAATGACAGGCCTGTTCTTTTGTTTATTTGAAGATATTTTGTTTGTTTGTCTATCTGTTTGTTTCTCATGCCACTCATATCACTAATACAGTGACTCTTAGGTGGCTTACAATATAATAGTTAGAAAAAAATTGAAATTAGAATAAAAGGTTAAAAGTTAAAAACCAAGATCATGAGCAGCCTGATGTAACAATCTTTTCTACCCGGTCTTCCATCCCCAATATTGCAGTACTGTGTTGATGGGATGGGGGGGGGGGAGGCAAGTAGCTGAGTCAAGTGTGTAGTCTGTTCCAGAAGTGAAGAATTGTGCGGAGAGATCTCACCTGTGACAGGAGAATGTTGCAGAGGGGAGACCAAAGCAGGAAAGGCTTTTCTCCATGACCCCTCCAGTTGAACTTCTTTGCCTGGCAGGATCTTAAGTTGGCCCTTTCCACCGAAGGACAGGGGCAGGTTAATCCCAAGGGGGAAAGCAGTTCCACCGATATCCTGGACCAAGGTCATTAAGGGTTTTAAAGGTAACAACCAATACCTTGAATTGGACCCAGAAGCAAACTGGGAACCTGTGCAGCTGATATAACAAAGGTGTTGCATGAAGGGCCTCTAGAACTGCATGACCACTGCGTTCTATACCAAAATATACCAGTTGTACCTTTCAAATACTCTTCAAGGGTAACCCTGTGCAATAATCCAACTGGGAGATGATCAGAGCACGTCACTGTGCTTGCTGTTTTTGACAGTAGGTTTTTTCCCCCCTTGTTTTTGAGTATGAAGATAGTGTTCTAGCTAGGGAGAACACTGGGTGGACAAACTGAGGCAAGCCAGGTTTAATTCACAATGTGTGTGTCTCAACTAATTGCAACACTGAGATTCTGTTTGATAGATCTTTATATATACCAGTTGGCAAACAGGCAACCAATCAGGAGCAAACACAACATCCCCTAGGCAAATGGACTGGAGGGAGAAGTATTGGATATAGCAGATAGTTTGTCAGGATTCTTATCTTAAGAAAAAGTAATGCATTTGTTACCAACCTAACAACTCCCAAAGTAGATTTAGGAGACTTGGCTTTTCCAGATCTCTAAACCTAAAATAATCTGTGATTAGTGGATGACAGGGGATGATGGGAGTTTAAATCTCAAGGTTGGGCAACTGCACTTAACATTGGAGAGGGAAATTGACTTGAAAAATTGCTATTATTCCATTTCAATAT